TCCGGCAGTGCTGGGTTCCTACCAATTGGCCAAGCAGTAGGACTATCCGGATTCTTGCCGGTCTTGTCGGACTCGATGCGGTAGAGATGGCGAGGTTCGTAGTTATACTCTTGTATGTTGAGCCAATAATTCGGTCCGAGATAGAAAGAGACGTTTTCGTCGTCAACCTGGATTCCAGGGTCGCCGGCCATGGACTCTTCGATGCTGTTGTACTCGCTGAAGCTTGATGGAGTTGTCGATAGCAGCGGAATCTTCGGAGGCCTCAACGGTTCACCGCGTGCAGCCATCCCCTTCAGCTCCTCAATCTCTCTCTCGAGACGGGCCACCCTCTCCTGGAGCCGCTGTTGGCTCTCGGGGGTGCCCTCTCGCGGAACATCGTAAGTGCAGGTTGCGGCCGTGCCGTTCTTACCGCAAGTTCCACATGGCAGTTGCCTGTCGCATTTCACTTTGCGGCGGCGGCACGTACTGCACGGCTTGTTGAACAGGATCTTACCAAATTCCGGTTGAGGAGCCAAGTTGTCCTTCGTGGAGGGCGTTGCCATGGTCGAGAGTTTGCCTCAAGCTTAAAAGCAGAAAACGGCAGACAATCTGCTCCGACGGGCGGCTGACAAAACCCTCCAAGAGGTTGTTGGTAGGGCTGGCCGTCCGTTAGGGGGGGCTGCGGCCGGTGGAGAAAATTCGACGAAGAAGCAACCCTGATTTGGGAGAGGTAATGCGGCGCCAGAGCCCTAGAGGACTCTTGTCTGGCGCCGCAGGCGGACTTCCTCGTCTGATCAATAGGGCTTTCTGGGCAGAAGATCCCCGCGGAAAGAGGTTGCAGACCGTGGACAACGGCAGGGCTCGATGACCGGCCAGAGTCTGCGGTGTCATGCCCGAAACACCACTGTAGGTGAAGATGGAGAGCTCCACAATGGAATTATGCCCCTAAGACAGTGCGTGGCTGCCCTTCAGGAACTGCCGACCCCGTCAGTTGGAGGCAGGATCGGGCCGCCACGCGTGGTCACTGGTGGTATGAAGAAGGAAGAATGCGGTGTTGATGGGCAATGCCAGCTGAAAACACTCCACCCGAGTCTCGCAGCAGCCCAAGGAAAGGACACCACGTCTGGGCCACCGCCTTTCCTGCAGAAGTGCAAGTCCCAATGAGGGCGGCCGCGCCAAGCTGGCGGATACTGGATGCGCCACCAGACCCTCCCCCTCAAGCAGGTGTGTGCTTGAGAAGCAGGATGCGTGCTTGTTGGATGACGGTGGGGTACGGCCGTTTGGGACTTGTGGCCTTGGAAAACATACACAGACAGCGTGAGTGTGGTGGTGTAGCCTGGCTGGGCCCTAGAGATCCTTGCAGTTCCCCTTCTCTCTTTCTCTTCCTCCCTGATTCCAGGCTCCGAGCCGGGGTAGGCACCTAGCGTTCGGACGAGATGTCGGGGAGAACGGAGGGATTCGTCGTCAATGACTCGGACACAGCCAAGACGTTCGTCTGTATCGAGATTGGAATACGACTCTTTTGTGACGAACTGCGGCTTTTGGCGAAGGTCACCGTCACGGGGGTTAGGCGAGGCGAGGTGAGGCTCTTGGGCAGCCCAGATCAATTCATCACAGAGAGGACAATAAAATCCGCCGTTACCGGGCTTCGGCTCCAGGTTCGGTGTCCTATGCAAGAAGGGTCACCGTATGAGGAATACGGTACAGCGTGGTTAAACGGTGGAGATGGAACGCGCGTGAGAACTCTGAATGGGACGAGACGTCGGAGAATCCCGACCGGTGAGGTTGTGTTGTGTGGGCAAAGGGGGTGAGATCGGCAATTCAAGTCGCAACCGTTAAGCCAGAGCAGGTTTCCTTTCCCTGGTAGATGAGGTGACACAAAGATCTCAATGAGCAGGATTACATAATGTTTCTCGGCGAGGAACGCTTCGATAGCAACGCATGTTATTGGCTCGTATCCTTCAAGATGTGGCCTCATACGGTGATTAGCGCGGAACGGCATTGCATGTAGGTACTTGTTCCCGGGCACGCCTACCGGAGAAGCCCCGACGAGAAAAACAAAAGTCTTGGGGTTTGGGTACGACTAGGACTAGGTATTGTTGTCCGTATTCATCCGCGGTGTCGGTGCCTTGGTGCGATTATTGAGTTCGAACCTGCGTATGCACGAAAGCACGGGATGAGACGAGGAGGCTGGAAACCGAGTGCTCTCGACGTGCATCAATCGCCACGATACTGCATCTCGCCGTGTCGCGCCGATTCGCCGGGGGCCTAGATCCAGGGTCTGGAACGCAACCAACCACGCTGGACTGGTCCAGGCGCGCAGCATTTTAATCAAGCCGAGGTCCAAATAGGGCTATCAGCTCGTCCAGTAGGGCAACATTTCAGCTGGACCTTAACCCTGAGCCTTACAGTTACGCGACCCCAGTTGGGAGAGAATGGGAATTCTTTCCGCATGGCGACCTTATCCGCCTTATCAGTATCTTCCCTTCTCCACGCCTTGCTTGCCCGCTTGCCTGGTAAACGGCACGGAGGGGCCGGGCCTCGAGTGGGGCCTCGGGACGCAAGTGGAGCTCGGCCTTGCAGCCCGACTCCGAGACCCCGGTACGTACCTCAGCCCGAGCCTGCAGATGGACTGTGGACTTGTCAAAATGTCCAGGCGCGAAAGTGAATTTCACTGAAGGGAAGGTCCACCCCACACCCAGTGCACCTTCCATTCTACGCCTAGACCCTGCCCCACCTCCACCACTCAGGCACCTCACGGCGTGGGCGGGCCGGTTCATTCCAGATTCCGCGCTCCCCGCCGCGGCGGACCTGACGCGCCTTTGCACCGCCGCCAAACCTGAGCTCCGTCCCCGACATCATCGAGTCCGTTCCGTCACCCGCGACAGATCTCCCGCCAGAGACCATGGCCTTACCTCTGCCGTCGGGTCTCGTACCCGCCGAAGTTGCTTTCCTCTGCGAAATGGAACTGGTCACAATTGTGCCCCGCCAGCGCCTGGAGAGCATCGACCTGCTAAGCGTGAGCCCCTCCATCGTCCCCCCCGCGACGCGTCACGATCGATCCCTTTACTGACGTGTCACTCCGTCTTGCAGGGTGCAACACCAGCCCTACGACCTCCGGCACGCGCCGATCTGCCCATGTGGCTCGCCCTCCTCCTCAAGAAACAACGTCGAGCGAACATTGTCCCTCCGCCGTGGCTCCATCCCCAGTCGCTTGCCAAGATCGTCCACCACGAAACCAAAGTCGAGCCCGATGCCTTCTCGCCCCCTCCACCACCGCCCGCGAGAGGCGACGCGCTAGGAAATGCCAGCCGATACGGCGAAGAGACGCTTTCCGCCCCGTTCCTACCTTCATGCACCGCCGATGCACCGCCAAACGCCCTGCCATACCACTGGTTCGAGCTCGCAGAGATGCTGCTAGCCCACGCGATCGACGATATACCCGCCCCCTCCGAAGTCAGGTCACTCCTCCGAGACCTCCAAGAAGTGCGATCCGCGAAGCTGAGAAAGAGCACGGAAGAGCTTTCCGAGGTTGCGGGTGTCATGAGCCTGCGTGGAGTGGGAGCGATGGAGCTGGCCGAGAGCCGCGGCTTCTTCCTGGGCGTCATAGAGGGCGTCCGGAAGATTGGCGCGAGCGCTGAGGCCAGCAGACGCGAGGAGGAGGAGGAGCGTGGGGAGGGTGTTGATTATGACGAAGACGAAGATATGCTATGATACCCGGCGTTGCATGCTCTCTTCGTCCGAGAGAGTCGGCGCCTTGCTTTTTGCAAAAGTCCGAACGGCCAGGGCACATGTACGCCTGAGGGATGCCACCATCTACGCCCGCCTATAGTTCAGGTATGGAGCTTGTGTCTCTGAGGGTTAACCTTCATGCTGACATCCTCTTCAGTTAGGCCTTGCGAAGCCTCCCGGCAATCGGCTGCCTGTTGCGGTCCCAGTCACGCTTCCTGCCCCAATTGCAGTAAACATATGTTATTGGCCGCAAAAGGGAACAGACCTACCGCCACATTATTTGGATCAAGTGGTCGCTCTGCGCGATAGAGGTTCAAACATGGTTTGAGGCTGTGTAGATTCCCGTGCCCGAGCACTCGACATCGGACAAACTATATATAGGGCAACCACCAATGATACTAACGATTAGAGCCATGCTGAGGCAATGATTAGACGCCCCTGAATATGTTCCATGTGACTTTGGCCTATCCTATGTCTACAGGCGGTGCATTGTCTACCCTGGCCTATACATCCATCCTTTCCCAAGCCTGATTCGCTCCGTGGCTAGTTTCGCTTCGAGCAAATGGCCACGCCACGAGACAGACTCTCCTCTTCATTACGGACGCTATTCTCGTCGATGGGATTGCGCAAGGTTTTCCCTCGCCAGCCTTTTTGCGAGTCGGTAAGAGTTCTTGTCTGGGACGAAAAAGGGGCTGAACACCTCACCCCACCCTCCGCAACACCTCACCATATAACACTGCAGACTTTGTACTATTACTTCAACCTTTACTACAGATGTATAGATACGTTGTTCTCTTGAGACAGCTCACGATGTAACTATAAAAAGCGTAGGGGAAAAGACTATTTTGGCTTCTTTATACCAGTAAGAAAACCCAAATGTTGTTTCAGTCATGCTGCATTGACATTACTCCTCAATGTCCCCAGAAACACAACGGCGGCGTGGGAGATGTACAAGCATGAAGTAACTACCAGCCCACCAATCGGGGATATCGACTGCCACCGATGAGATAGCTCAAAAATGTGCGGCCTTCTCATCGTCAGTAGAAAGTCCGCACAGTAGATAAGTGCGCAAGCCCAAAAGAACAGAAACTGTCTCCATCCTCGGGGCGTAGTCTTTGCGGAATGTTCCGCTTCCATCCACAGGCCCAAACGAATGGTCGTTGCGCAAGCGCAAGGGTAGCTGATGAACAGATTGCAGACGAAGTTGAGGTCGCTTATCCAGAGATCGTACAGTGTTAGGCCTGGTTGGAAGTAGTTATTGAAAACAAACGATGCCGCAGAGGCCATCATCACTGCTGCTAGCAACCCGAGAAACGGGAAGGCTGCACAGACGGGCAGCCAGGAAGCGCACCTGTAATCTTCAAGATGCGGGATAGCCTGATGGAAAGCCTCGTCGGCGTCGTACGACCCCGCGTGAGAGTCGGCGACGTTCACTTTGGGCCCCGCATTCTTCGACGGTGTTTTTGTATTCCCTTGTCTGAATGATGTGGCGCGACTGGGAGCTACTGTCGTGCCGGACATAGTGGCCTCATTGGGACGACTATCTGAATAGACTTCGTGTTGAAAGTCTGCAGAGTCCGGCTTGGTGATGTGATGGACGAAGGTGCCGAATATCGTGAAGACTGGGCCGAACAGGAGTATCACAGGCAGTATTTGCCCAAAGGTCCACTGGTTCTCCGCCTCAGCTAGCGTGAGCTGATCTTCGTCGACGGCGGTCACAATGAGGCCAAGAAGCTCATTGCGGGTACCGAGAACCTTGATAGTGCCCCAGACCAGGATTACACAGAGCCAATAGACCTTGTTGTTGAGACCACTGTCAGCCAATTCGTCTCGATTACTCGGATATTCTGATTCACGAACCTCAAATAGGGATGAGCTGAAAAAGTCAGACGTAAGCCTGACCATAAAGAATCCTGCCAAAGCAGGCTTCAAGATGAGCTCAGTCTTGAGGAGTTTCCTACGTTCCGATGATGCCGGTGTGTTTGCAAAGTCTGTCAAAAGTCTTCTTACGCGACGACTCGTCGTTTGTCTGACATTGAGCTTGAACGTCCTAGACAACGGGTGGAGCAACTTCATAGATCGGGTACCAAAGCCGAGAACAAGCAAGACCATGGAGTACACCATAGCCTGGTATGCGGGTGTACGTTCCAGCTGCATCTCCGGGAAGTCGCTTTGACTCAAGGTTTCCTTGAATCGCCAGAAGCCATACTTCAGGTCGAAGTAGCATACGGCTGGCGAGGAAAAGTTCCTGTTCCGCAGGCTGAAGAATCCAGTGGGTACGATGCCCACTAAGAGAAGGATCAGGAGAAGGGACATAAGTGAGAATCGGAGATGCTTTGACCAGACGTAGGTGTTAAGATGAGTTCGCAGAACCTCTGGTCCAGAAAGATGGGTGACAGTAAAGAACCACGCTAAGAAGACGGCTATTTGCCAGTGAATAGCGTCCAGACCACATCGCAAGAGGACAAATCCGCTGATAAGAATGCCGAGGCCAGTGACGACTTGCACATCACAGAGCATGATTACTGACTGTTCGGTTTGTTAGCCATCACTGATCAGTGGCGATATGATACATTGTTAATGAGTTTTGCTATCCGGGTGGATACTTCTAGCTAACCGAGCGGGTACTGGATATACGACGATAGGGATGATTAACGACGACGACGATGATGACGACGATAACAATAGCGACAGAGAGAGGGATAGGAACAGCGACGATAGTAGTAAAACTTAATCGAGATAAGTCAAACTAGTAAACGGGCTAATAGGCAGTTATCCGCCCGGATAGCAAAACTCTTGTCAATGGGAAATCAGACTTAAGCCACTAACCTCATCAAATGCCGTTCGAAGGCGTGCGCAGGTATCATCCGTAAAGACCAACGGTCCCTTCCTGACCCACCTGAGGAACCGCTCATCAATCGGATTTGGTCGCCACAGCTCTCTGTTTATGTTCTCGTTCTTTGAGTTGCCGCTTTGAAAAGGACAATCCGTGGGGTCGTATGCAAGAAAATAGTTGCCGATGACCAATAGAAGTACAAGATAGGCTGTTCCCATGAAGCCAATCACAACCTGGAAGGCATCAGCACTTCAAGAACCATACAAGACTGCCCATTCTACCTACACCATTGCCCGAGATGTCAGGATATGCTTGAATCGAAGTCTCTGACAGGTTGTAGCAATCGATGACTCGGCAAAAGCCATTGGCTTCGTTGTCAGTCATGGTTGTCGCTTGGCATTCTAAACTTTTCGGGGCGGCGTGACGTTTAGAAGGGAAGTACGATAAGCTTTGTTTAATGGCCCAAGTTGGAAACGACTTGGCACGTGCGAGGATAATGAGAGCTTGCTTGATCAAGATATCGAAGGTTGGAAAGATGGCTTATGCCTCTTAAACACCCATTGCCAAGGAGTCGCATTGCGGCTGGCGATGTCGCCTGCAGGGCAGCCTGTAGTCAGCATTGCCTGAGAGGGCTGAGCCAAGGGGTTTGTTTACTAGACATTGTCTCGCAAACGGTGATGACTGGTAAGCCTGCTTAGCTGCGAATGACGACAGTAACTTGACGGAAAAGGCCGAAACAAAGTTCAAGCTCGATTGAAAGTCTTACCTTTTGCTCCTGAATCTGCTGGGAACCGACTGATAGTTCGTCTAGGGAGGATTAGAACATTGCTGGCGAATGCGATACCGTAGTTTCTACTAAGATGCCCTCTGGCAACAATTATACGGTGAATCGCGCGGCGATCCCCAGTGAGTGAGGAATGTTTGCTCCATGTTCTCTCGCTTGCGTTGTTGTGCCACGATCCTACATCATGCCCCTTGCTCGGCATCCTAGCGTCCTCTCGGTCAGTCCGTCCATCATGCATCACGTCCGCAATATTGACAAACGATTGGTTCATCATCCGAAAATTCCACCTTCCCTTCTTCAAATAATGATGTCATTTCCAAGTACGTTTTTTGTTCTTGTCTCCATACATCCGCGACCGAAAGATTCGAGATTATCCTCCCAAGTGGTGTCGACATCGTACAAGTTCGTGCGCTGTTCATAAATCCAAACTCCAAGCGCCAGCCCGCGGGAACAGGTCATTTCCAGAACAAGCTCCCTCAAGATCAACTTCCCCAAAAGCTCAAAATCGAAGTACCCGGATAATCCATCATTTATGTCGCTGCAAGACCGGCGTCATCCCAACGACCTTCAAGGCCTCAAGTCATGCAGATGACCCGCCGGATGGATCCCCACCTCCCGAAGCGCTGGCTCCACTGTCGGGCGCGTTCCTGCTGGCACCCGCATCGCCTGGCCCCCCGGCCTCAGCACCAGATAAAGCGCCGGCGACGGTGGCGTAGCCTAGTGTGCTGTCGAAGTTGTAGTAGGAACCAGCGTGTTCGCCAGAGAGTCGGGACGGGTCGCCGCTGTCACTGGCTGCGGACTTCTTTGCGAGTTCTTCATCCGACTTTTGGTGTCTCGGCTCGAACTTGAGCTCCTCCTTGTCCCAGTCCTTGAAGACGGGGTCGTCCAGTGTGAGCGCCCTCGATCGACCCTCCCAAGTCTGACGTTGCTTCTTGGCTTTGAATGGGTTTCGCATCGTAAGATGTAGTGTAGTAAATGTCGTTTGGTTTGCGTTCGCGGCGTGAATTGTTTCGCAGGGTGCTGACGGTGTGTTGTCTCGTCGCTGTGATGAAGGCACTTTCTTCCGCCTTCTCAAAGATTCGTGAGAGAAGGAGGAAAACTGGATAAAAGTGAAACGGCGCCGTTGGATTAATATGTGCTAACCGCCAGCCTGAAGCATGAACAGCTGATATCAGCTAGCCGGGGGTGGCTGAGCAATTTTGACAGCGCCGTGCCGCAAACTTTCAGGGTCCAACATGAGAAGATATGCCCCAATAACGCCATGAGGGTCAGCAAATGGCGCCCGATTGATAGCTGAGCCCACACCCACGTGCGCTTCGCATTGCGAAAGGTCCAATCAAGCACCGGAACCCCGGACAGTTCGTGATCGGTGCCTAGAGAGAGACGATAAGCCAGCCGGGGTCTCACTGGTCACCAGTAGGGCTAACGAAGGGTATCCCTGCTTCAGCTAGGCGGAGCTTGGCATAGCCTGGCCACTTCGGGGGAGGCAGCCCGCAGCCTTTGGGGGAGGTTAGCGGGATGGTTTGATTGCGTCCATGCCGTTGGTGACAGATTCGAGATTCGGCTTGATTGTGGGAAATAAGGCCAATTTTGTTGAGCAGGCCAACCCCATTACGGCATGATGCTCCTCACCATTGATGAGTCTAATGATCCTTCACGATGCATCGGGGCTTTACGGTCTCGAATCAACACCGAAGAGCATGAGATCGTGACGTTTTGTGATTATAATGTATCGCTCTTGAGGAGAGTGATTGGATACCGTGCGAGTCATCAAGCCGGAGACCGACCCAAACTGGGACCAATGTCTGTTCTTAACTCCGCTATCACAAAGTAAGCTTAAATGCGCTCCGACAACTTACCCAAGTGGAGGTCGCGAAGAGGCTTGGTCAGTGATGGGGTCTGGTCACAACTGAGATCCACGTTTATTGCGACTCAAGATCCGGGGGAATGATCGAGATGAAACATGGCACGGATCTAATTGCAATACGGCACCAAATTTAGGTGCTCCTTAGACTCAACGAATGGGAGAGAGCCCAGAGGCGCTGACTAGCTAAGTATGCAGGGGCATTCACATGATGATTTGTAGAGAACCGCGATGTTCCAAAAGCCTTGGTTTAATTTGCTAAAGGAATGTAGAAATTGGCCGCGTCTGCAGTTGACTCCGTGAAAATTCCTTCGCGGATTATGACCCGAACCTGTTTTCGCCAATGGGAATCACCGCCATCGGGGGAAGAAAGAAATTTTGATGCTCAAACCACCGCCATGTCTATGCGGTGGAATATGTACGAAATCGCAATCGCAATCGTCTCAAGGAACAGTTTTAGTCTGCGCGAAGGACCGCAACGGAACAAGCAGGCATGACGAAGCTGAAGTTGTCGCCGGAAGACTCGATGCGCGAGATAACCGGAGGAGCGATGGGAGATCCGGCATGGCTGTTGGCACTATCAGGGTTGTCATTGGCCAGAATGGACAGCGTCGCAATACCCTTTCCTGCAATCTTGATGTCTATTTGCTGCGGCTCAGCGGCGTAGTTGGCCAGCTTCACGATGTACGTCTCGCAGGCGCTAACCGCGCTCCAGAAGACAGGGTCAAATCCAGAGTCAGAAGTGACCTCGTGGGTCACGTCGCCAGCATTGTGCGCGAAGAGCTGTTGGACCCAGTAGCTGGACGTGTAGACGATGGCGTCAGGCGCTTGTTTGAAAGGGATCAGGTTGGGCTGCAGATGTTTCCAGATGTTAGATTTGGCTCACAATCTCAATTTCAATCAAAAGAGCACGACAACTTACCGCCCATTGGTGGTGATCTACGAGACTGAGCAAAGGCGCAAAGGCTACGCCCCGAATGAGGTCGCTACTACGTTCCAGTCCAAGCATGAAGACGGCCTCGGACACCGAAACCCTCATGTCTGAATACTGCACGCTCTAGCGACCCATCTCAGCGATGACGTACTTGTTCCTGCAAGAAATATTTTCCCACTGGGCGAAGTTGACGATGTAGTTCTCAGGGATGTTGTATTCATGGTAATCGATCCATGCATCTTCGGGGAAAGGGTCAGGCAGGCAGTTGAAGCCGGTAGCAGAGGCAATAAGCTGGAGATCCGGATACTTGGGACGGATGGCATTGTAGAATGCGGCGAATCTCTCAGGATAGCTTCTGCAGCCAAAGTCATCCTCGTTGCCAATTTCGACCCACTTAACGGGCGATGGCTGCTCGCGTCCGTTCTTGGCTCAGAGGGCTCCTATAGGTGTCGAGGAATCGCTAAGGACGTACTTTTCAACATCAGTGGTTAGATTGAATGGAAAAACAGGCTTCATATTTTGTAGCACGTACTTCAAGCTCTTGGAGAACTTCATCAACGAAAGGTTTCAAAGCTTCACCAGTGATGTGGGTTCCGTCGAGGGAGTACCCAGAGTAGACGCCAAGGAATGGCTCAAGGCGTATGTCATCGCACCATTCAAAGTATTCATGAAGGCCTACGGTACATTAGCTATTTAAGAGTTCAAATTTGTGCGTCAGAAGTCATTTATACCAAGGGCATCAGTGTTCGGGTATCCCCAGGCACCTATGCTTTGTTAGCTTGTCATCCTGTTTGGAAGAGGTTCTGCTAATACCTTGATGACCAGGACGCGAAGTTATGGCACCAATCGTCTCATTCCATCTCCAACGGTTCTCGACATTCGGACCTTCCCCTATCTTAGTTAGACATCGCAGTTTTCCCGCAAGCATAACGGGGGCAGAGCATACAGGTTATTGCCGCCAGGAAATCTAAGAAACGATCCACCAATGCTGTTCACCGCTTCGCCAAGTGATGGTTTGAGTCCGTTGTAGCTAGATCCACTAGCCGCATTTCTCTTCAAGTACGAATCAGACATACCGATTATGGAAGGTGGTAGGATAGAGCTGCGGAAGCGCAAACCAGAGCGAAGAGCCGGCGACAAGGCCCGCATCAAAGGTCATCCTGTACTCTATATCCGTCAACGACGAGAAGGTAGTCGGCTCACGTTGGTGAAACTCGGTAAACTTGTCGGTGGTGGAGTCAACGTAGAAAGTAACGTTCGCGAAGACCTCCTTGGTAGAAACACTCTGCAAGATCCAGTTCATCTGGCCTTGATAGTTGCCACGGATGAAGATGTTGTGCGAGTGAGGGCTGCCATCAACCGGAATGCCCCAGTAACCCTCCTTGGCGAACCCAGCCTGACCCGTGGCGCCAGCTTCGACACTGACTTTGAGTGTGTTGGGAAGAGCGTCAGAGAGGGGAACTGAAGAATCGACTTCCAGGGTGGTTCCCGAGATTGCCGAATAAGCTGCTAATCCAGGATTATCGCCTTGGAAGCCGTTATTGCGGATGAGCTGGCCATGAGTACCGCCGTCCCCGGAGTAGTTGATGTCCTTGCCGTTCATGTCCATTAGTATTGCAATGTTCAAGTCGCGTCAGCCAGCATATTACAGACCCCGAACATGATGCCCCACATGGTAGAAGAAGTCTCATTGCCACGATCCTGTGATACCGTCAGACTGATGGCACCGCACTGGACTGCGAGGGAGGACATCAAAAGTCCTGCCAAGGCTCTCGAAGACATGAACAGGACCATGATGTCGGAAAATAATCAGAAAACGAGTTCTCGATGAAAATGGAATTACCATTGCTTGTTGAAGTCTACAAAACATCTTCAGAATATTATAGGTATTTTATATGTTTGAATCATGACCATCGCGGTGTAAGTCCAGAGCCAATGACCAACAAACGTTTGTCGTTCAAACGGTAGCCGACGATAGATTCCACCGGTCGTCTTTGAGGATACCGTTTATGAGGTATGATTGACTCTAGTCGCATTTCTCGTCGTGGGACGGAGAATTTGGGGATTGAGCGGGTTGTCGCACGCTATGCCACTCGGGTAACGCACCAATGGCGTGACACACTGAGGTCATTTCCGCGACGCCGATACTATCACCGAGATGTAGTGTTCTGCGAGACTGGGCGTATCTGAGCGCGTTGCATTTGGCGATCGCAATAAAAATGATGAACATGGGTATTTCGGCACATTGACGTCGGTATACATGGCTGGGGATAAAGAGCAAGAGTTCACTCGGCATTGCAGCTAAGGGGTGGCCCAAGGAGTATGTGGCTCGCAATGCACCGAGGGCGAAGATTTTCAGGACTTAAATGCTCAATCTCATAGTTCTCACGAGGCTACATTGTAACCCCAGTATGGCTCGGCAACCAAAACTCTACGATCACCGAAAAGACGATGGACGCGCCCAGCCTTGTGATAAGATAGAACAGACATACGTACCTACGAAAACGCCTACAGTTCAAAGTGCCACTCATGCTATTCAGCCACCGCAATAAGGCACAAGGGACTGAAAATCCCCATCATATTCAGTGATAATCCTGAACTATGGTTCCATCGAAGCTTGGGGGTCACAAGACCGGTTCCTCGCTACAACCTTCTATCCATTGGCTTGAGATCTCACCGCCTTCGGCTCTATAGCAGGCGACTTACTTGGATATGAAGTCTCCTATTACTAATTCCTTGCATACTAGTCTGTGCCGCCCAGCGATGGCTTGCCAAGGCCAAATCGTGACCGTTGTGCTTACACCCCGTCTGCTTTGGGACGGACTAAGCCCAAATGGACCGTTCGTAACCCCACAAACATGTCGCGGACTGGATCTGGAGTGATTCAGCCTACGAACGGAATCGCGCGAGTTTCGCTTGTCTTCGCAGGTTTTTGAATGCATCCACTGTCAGCGTGTTCGGGCAAAGGGCTGTGCAGCGTTAAATGCGAGCCGCCGAATCGCTCATGAGAACCATTAAAATGAGTAAAACAGTGATCTGGAATTTCACGATGAATCTTGCTTCTCTCGATTTACGACTGCTGGATAATCGTCATGACTTTGAGTGTCAAATGGACACAATGGCTGATCCATTTGGGACAGCAGCCGCACTACCAAATCTGGGTCGATTTGGTTTTATAAAGACGATGTGTTGAGCACAACGACTTGTGAGAAGATATCTATCACCATCGCATCGCATTGCATCGCATTTTACACTCGAATTCGAATTCTAGAACACTATCGACTTTCTCAAAGTCTGCCTACCGACTTCAGAAGCTTTGAACATGCGCTTGTCACTCTGGTCTGCTGCGATTTTCGCCGGCTCTTGTCTGGCACAAGGTGATCTTGCTGGGCTTCTCGCTTCGCAAGACGATCTCAGCACGCTGCTTGAGCTAGTCGGTCTTGTTGATGGCCTTGCAGAAACGCTCGCATCGGCTTCCAACATAACCATCATAGCCCCGACTAATTCCGCTTTTGCCAATGTGCCACGGGACATTCCAGAGGGCGAGGCTATTGAGCTTCGCAACGACACTATCGCTATTGCAGCCTTGCTTGCGAACCATGTTTTCAAAGGAGTTTACCCATCCAGCGTCATCACTGAAGTGCCCACCTTTGCTCAGACCTTGCTCAACGGTTCCTACATCACCGCCCGCCAGCCTTTCTCCAACTTCACCGGAGGCGCCTACAACGGACTCGTCAAGAACGGGAAGGACGTGTGCATCCTGTCTGGGGAGCAAACCATCTCCACGGTCACTCAAGCTGTGTGTAACATCTTCATTTACATCTAAGCTCTTAAAGGCGCTAACGTAACGCATAGGACATCAAACTTGGTGAAGGTATCACAATTCACAAGGTCGACACTGTGCTCTCCTTTGGAGCCCCATTTCAGCTCTTCACGTTCCGAGCAGGCTATCGCGCCATGAATGCCGCTCTGGAGGCGGCTCACCTCAACTTTGCTTTCGGCGAGACTGGAGCCGATGTTCAGGGCCTGAACATTTCCGACTACACAATCTTCGTCCCAACTGATGAAGCTTTCAAGTCAATCGGCTCTGTAATTGAAACAGCGGACCTAGAGACACTTCAGCAGGTGCTTCAGTACCACATCATCCCAAACAACGTGATCTTTTCGCCGTCTCTTGGAAACGTAACAATCCCGTCTCTTCAAGGTGCAAACCTCACTTTCACCGTGTTGCCGGACGGATCTGCCTGGGTGAACAACGCCAGAATCACGTTCCCCAACACCATTTTGTACAATGGCGTGGCTCATGTGATTGACAGGTTAGTTTACTCCAGTCAACGGCAGTTCTTCGCATGTTATGCTGACGTATTGTTAGTGTCTTGGGCCCTGGAAACTTTGATCGCGCGTCTCTGCAGCCGTCTAAGCCGGATTCTGAGCGAGTCGCGTTCCCTAATGCCTCCGCAGTCTCGAGCCTGCCTTTCTCTAGTGTCTCTTTCGCGACTGACCTCATGGCTTATACTACAACTCCAATTTTGCTCCAGACCGTTGCTGCTGTCGCCACCCCTTCAGCTAATGCGACCGCTACGACGAGCCAGCCTGTTCCGGTTGCAACTGGGGCTGCCAGCGGATTGATGCCTGGCGCAATTCTGGTCGTTTCCGTTGCCATGGGCCTTGCTGCACTGCTCAGCTAAATTTAAGAAGCTAATCGGGCGTCTTCACCAGTGCAATTGAACGTGCAAGAGAGTTGGTTGGAAATTGATGCATTGGAGATGGAGGTAATTAGGGCGTTTTGTGAAACGGTTGGTTGGTTGGCATACGGAGGAGATCTTGATGCTGTTTTTGCCTTGATTATCTGTTATGATTTTCACACCTTCATTATGCCTGTTTTCATCGTTGTTATCTGAACTATTATCACTTCATTAGGGACTTCTTTATTATTATTTCCCTGCTAAAGTGCTATCTGTCATAATGTGTCTTACACAACGGCGGTGGTGACACAGGCGGCAACGAGAAGCGGCGACGATAGCAGACGCGACAGATGATTAATTTGTTGCTTACCTACTTAAATCTCCGGTCGGAAAGCAAGACTCATCTGTAGAAGTGGTATGTGATTCGGTCTGTAGTCTAAAATCTATGTGGTATCATCGAATGCGCGTGCTCCGTCAAACTCTATGTACAAGTGAAGTGCAGTTTCTGACGCCGTATTATGCTATCCACCCTAGTAATCGGCGTCGATGTACTCGGCGCAGATGAGGTCGCCCTTGAGGTCCATCACATCGGCGATAGTCTTATTAGGGATGATGCCACCCATCCAGAGGACGTGGTTGAGGGTGGTCTCGTTGCCCGGGTCACCATCGTAGTCGGTGTAGGCCTTGGACGGGTAGAGCCAGCGGTTCTGTGTCATGATGAACTCCGGAGGGATGATCTGACCGCTCATGTCCGTCAGACGAGCGGTGAGGTTGGCCTCCTGCCACTTCTGCCAGAGGCGATCCAAGTTAGCGTGGTGTAAGAAGAAAACAGGGTCGCCAGGGCTGGCGTTCTGGTTCTCCATCTGAAAGAGCTAATGTGAGTGACTTCGCTTTCGTATAAAAGATTTAGAAAGAGACTCACGGTTCCGCCAGTAGCAAGGTGTCCACAGGAGTGAGGCGAGTCAACGTAGCAGAAGTTGGCCTCGTTGTAGTTGTCCTTGGCGAAGCAGGTATCGACGTTGGCCTGGTTGGCGAACTCCCAGGCCGTCTGGTTCCATCTACGAGAAAGGCAGTACTCGTCGTAGTAGTCAACACCCCAGATCTGGTCCATGCGGAGAGTTGTGTTGGCAAAAGCACCATCGATGACGCAGTTGACGCCGTCAGTGGTGTTGACGCCGTTGGTACCGAAGCTGAACTCGTCGGATCCCCAAACAGAGGCATTCTCAATGGACCCGAGAACCTCAAGATCACGTTGCTCGTCCCAGTAGGGAAGAGCGCCCTTGTATTCACACTCGTTCTGGAGAAGCATCTCTTGTAGGCGAAGGAAAAGGCGGTGCCAGGGAAGGAAAGCACTGCGCAAGTTAGCTAGATACTAATTGAACGTTGAATTGTGGGCCACATACCCGACTCCGTGGATGAAGTTCGATTGCTCGACGTGGCAAGACTGCAGCTCGTCCCATCGAGAGATAGCACCAGTGATACCGCTCTTGGCGGGGGACTCCATCAAGCACTTGACGGCCTGAAGGTAGTCGGACTTCTCATCATTGGTGAGAACGTGCCTATTGAGTGTCATGGTCAGCCCTACTAACAATACAACGCTGGTGTAGGTGGGTCTGATGTCACTCACCATGCCTTTCTCTGGTTAAGCGAAGTGCAAGTAGAGTTAGTGTAGGTGCCGTTGCGAGCGAACGGTGATGCGCTAGCGAGCCCAAGGGCTGAAACGAAGCCGAAAAGAGTGGACGACCTCATGTTGATCAACGAAGGACGTGCAGATCTCAAACAGATCTGCAGAAGAGTTCGGACTACAAGTAAAGAGGGAACGACCCGATGGATTGGTTGACGTTCCAGCAGTTACAACAGCGCGGCCCTGCCAGGCTCACTTATACTACGACATCAACTCCGCCAAGACTCCAGGATTTCTTTTTCGTGGTCCAGATTCGGAGATCAATACAAAAACTGCCATGCCCCGAAACCCACTGACTACGCAAAGAATTGCGATGGACCTACGATAGGGAGCCGCGCAGCCCGCATGTTGCGCGGGACCTGTGGGAGTGCTCCATCGCGGAATATGGCGATGCTCGAGATAAAGATTGATCCATGCGCAGATTCGTCTCAAGTTGCCCATTTTATGCGCGTTAGCCAGGGATCGGCAAGTTAAATTCCTATCCATGTTCGTCCCAAGAAATTCGCAGGGCTTGAATAAGCATGGAAGGTGACCGAAACCGAGTATGAGTGGAGCTCAGATGGACCTCAGCCATCATTGAGCAAGGAAGAGACTTCTTGGCTTGACCTCCTGCCACATCTCCCACATACCGGTCCTCTGGGTCATGTCCGAGAGGGACTACCTTGGACCTGCATTTGAGCCACGTTTGTTGGCGTTTACTGATCGAATGGAGAATAAAACCGGAAAAGCCGGTCGGACTAAATTTGATGGTTTCGGCTCCCACATCGCTTCTGCTTTATTACGGGGCCAGCTTCTAGACCTGTGACACCTCGACCTGGGTGGCTCCGATGGAGACGACGCTCTTCTTGGTTCCGCATGTGGCGACGGTGACGACTACGGCGACTTCGCCTCGGTTGTTCAATAATATGACTGGGGAACATGTGCCCTGTCGGGCATTCCATCATTGAGCCCGATTTGAGGAGCTTTGTTATCCCTCGAAGTGCCTCTGGCTGAGATATTACGCCAAAGCCTACCCATCCTCACAAGCGGCATCAACCGGTGCACACGAGTCATAGTAATTTCCAGTCAACTGTAACACGTCTGATATTCGACGTTACCGGGTTTCAGCTAGAGACTTCGCCAAGTTTACCTTCCTAGTATCGTGTATTGTAAAGATAGCAACTAGGAATGTGAAGAAAGCCCAAAAGATGAAATGCGTGCGTTATCGCGAGGCTATTTCAAAAACTGTCACCCCTGCAGGTGTGACAAGTCATCGATGCCCGCAAAAGAAACGACTGTGGGTATTTCAGGGGATCGCTCAGCATTATGTAACGACAAAATCGGGAGTGATCTTCAGTCTTACTCCCATCTTGGCGGACTCAACGCCTACTTGACCCAGGTTTTGAAGTCCAAGCATGTTTTCTCAGCGGCAACCCGGAGTGGGGCAGCCGGCTCGGAGCAAAACCGCGATGTCGGAGCCGATGCTTTACGAATTAGGGTTCGCGTCGCTAAGAGGCAGTGCCAACCAAATCCGGCTCAACCGTACCTTGTGTTTCCCGTTTCCAGTGGTTCCAAAAAAGGACGCTTTACTCTAACCAGGGCTAGCAGCGATCCTCACAAGCCCCCCCGCGCTTTAGTTGGTGAAGTTTACGCACTTATGATTAAAGTTGCCAAATAACTTCCAGAGACAGAGCGTCACCGAGAAGATGAAAGCCCGCATGCAAAAGGTTCTTGTAAGACTGAGTGCATTTTTCTGAGGCTATCTCGGAGCGAACAATAGGAAAGTTATGCACACACCAGTCACACTCAGTGGTGCAAGATTCAAAACTTTGGTCTTCTTTGTTGCTGACGATGGAAATGGGGATCTTTTAAAACAGAGATTGGACTCGCTCTGCGTCGGGGAACACCCAGATAAGTGATTACTGTCCTTAGCTGTGTTCTTGACCGTAAAGCCACCACACTAGGTGGTGCGGTCCATTGGTTGATATTCTTGGCTGTCTGATCAAAGATGACAGATCCAGACGCCGGGCGCGAAATATGTCCGAGAGGCAGAGCCCGCTGGAAATCAATCTGGGGGCTTCGGCGACCGGACGCGAGGGGTAGGACAGCAGCAACGAGTTGAAGGCAAGCTTGATTATTTTCTCGTGAGCACATTCTATGCATCCAGTGCTTTGGTTTTCTGTAAAACAGATTGTGTCTGTTAAGCTTACTATTTACCTTCATGTGAAAAGAAACTGCTTTCCCAAAACATTAGCGAACTCGCTGGCTTGATTGACCAAGACATTGCGAAATGCTTAAGGTCAGTGTAAACCTCCTTCGCGTACTCCGATTTTGGAATCATCCAAGCGAGGGAGTTTATTGTCGATCTCAGTGCCCTGATTGTCTTATGATACGAGGAAACTTCCGGGTGATCTAGCAAGACTAGATGAACCAATGCAGCGGTGAAGGCTGCATGTATGACCATGAAGTCAGCGATACTATTAGAGTATCGTTCGCGGTATATTTTGAGAAGTGCAGTTATTGTTGAGGCAAACTCCAAACAGTGGTTGTTGGCAAGCTCACGCTCAGCACTAGTCTGCTTCAAAGATGGACGATGTAGAAGGATCATGCCGGAGTGGTAGCATAAGCTTTCTTAGATGTCAGTTATGAACCGCGTTGTCTTGTTCACAATCGGACTGACTGGAGTTAGATTAAACTCGGTGGGCACTCTGGAAGATTTGTGGCTCGAAGAGAGGCTGGTAAAGCTGTGAGCCATGAAACATATCGAAGATTACCCGCTGATATTGCTTCCTCCGTCGAAGCAGGGCACGCAAAAGAATATCTGATCGTAAATAAGAAACAGGGAATAATGACACTGGGTCTCTCGTGCACTTACATGTCCCCGAGACATACATCTTGCATATCAGCCAAGCTAAGATGATACGCATATATATCATGCGCAGTGACAACAACATCGTTGCTTTCCTTGAGGGTTCTCTCAACATTATGGACGGGAGACTGGACGGAAACATCGCAAGCAGCCATCAACACAGCACGCCCCTGAAGAATTGTCAGGCGTCTAGCACACAGTGACTTTAGCCCATGAACGATGCTGAGCTCCGGTTTTTACTCACCTGTCTAAGAAGAAACAAGCCCAAAACGTCTTGTGTCTATCTATGTTGTCGGAAGTTTGTCGCATGTAAGGCCCATCGTGCAATGAAGCTGGGTCGACATGAAGACCCATAAGCTTTGCCGCATTGCAAGCAATCCCTAGGCGTTTTCATTAAGCGTGGACGTGAGGGAATGCAGAATTTCGCATGGCAACATACCTAGGAAAACGGCTGCTGACTCAAGCTTTCCTTGCAAGATAGCTAAGTATGACCGGAGTAGAAAAGACTTGATGTTGGGTATGCAAACGTGCTCGATCTCACCACCACTCAGTTCAGTGAAACGACTCGAGAATGGGAGGTTGACTTGATGCTGTCGCTCAGGATCGCTGTCTGAGAGACAGAAAAAAGCCCCAACACCTAGCACACTTACTTTGAGTAGCAGATTGGTTGCTGCGGCCTGCTGAAGCTCGGCGGGTGAAGAGAACAGCGGAAAATGGGAGTGAACGTGATCCCGGTAACTCCTTAGGTATTCAAGCTCTGTTGGTAGCCATTCTGTACAGCGATAATGGGCGACCTTCCCGGCTGTCGAAGGTCGCATCGTCCCGCATGTGGGCGATAAATGGAAATTGCTAGTTGGCCCAACATAGACCGTCTTTCCGGCGACTTCGTCGTGTATCAATGCACCATTCACAGAGCATATAGCCCCAAGGGCTGAAGTTGACAGCTTATCGTCGTCAAACTCCAGACCTAAGACACTGAATTTCAGAGACTCAAGAGGGCGTTCGAGCCTCACTTCTTGATGCTCTTCGGAATTGAAGGGAATAGAAACGCCATAATGTGTATCCAACGTTGAATCTCCCATTAGCTCAAATCCGAGTGACGCACTAGCTTGCGCTTTTCTGAGCTGAGATTCCAAAAAGTCGATTCTGTTGTTCAAAGCACTGAATTCGGATTCCGTGTGTCGTGACTTGCGTCCATCAATTCGACTGTAGTCGCAGTTTCGATCAAGTCGAGCGCATGTAGCGCACTGCGGTTTGGCGCCATCGCACTTGATCCTTCCTGTCCGGCACTGATGGCATGCCATTGATACCCGTGATGTCTGGCGCCTCGTTCGCGGCAATGAATTGGAAGACATGATGGGCTGCGTATAATTCCTCAAGAAGTTGGAATTTTCCATCCATGCTAAGGGCGAAGATTGGATTTGGACAAGTTGTTAGGTAGAATTCTTTGAGTACCTAGCTGGAGTATAAGCATCCATGTGCGAAACCTACTAGATATGCCTTCCATGACGAGCGGGCCCCATAAGACAAACGAAGTTCAACCAATGAAATGCAGTAACCATATCATAGGAAAATATACTCCGCTCAATCATCATGAGCGCCTTGGACAAAAGAAACAAACTTGTTAGCCGTGGGTATCTCGTTTGATATGCTTACGCAAGCTCTTATCCTATAAGGGCGATAGGGATGATAAGGACAACGCAGACGACGTGGACGACGGGGTACGAAGGGAATAATGAGGACGACGGGGGACGACGGGGGACGACGGGGGACGACGGGGATAATGAGGACGATGAGGACAAGGAAATCGACCGAGACAACTGGTATGATCGGAGTGATTGGCACAATGGAGGCTCCAGGATTTAGGAAACACGAGCAGCATTAACAATACCGAGGAAAGCAGAGCAATGAGAGTATAAACATCGCGAAATGTCCAGGATGAGCGACTAATCTAATCCAACTGAGTCAGAAAAGCTTGTACAATCAATGATAAGCTGAATGAATGAATACTGCATGTAACATTTACGAAGGGCATCAAGTGCGACTTGTACCACTTAAATTATCATAAGCTGTTGTATAATTGTCCTAGTCATAGAGCCCGTCGATTTGTTCCAAAGTCTTTCCTGCGGTTTCAGGCATCCAAAAGTAACAAATGAGAGCAACCATAACACTCAAACCACATATCATGAAAAGGGATTGATACCCAATGGCAGCAAAGAGGTACGGACTGATCATGCTGGCAAAGAAAGAACCAATTCCAAGACCAACTATGCCCACGGAACTACCTTTAGCCCTAGATTGAGCAGGGAATATTTCGGAAGGATACGCAAAAGGGCACCAGACTGTTCGCAAATCTCAATTGTCAGCTTAAGTTTCACAAGAGGTGCCGGATACGTTAGAAGGACATACGCCACGTTGCGCCAAAAATGGCATCCCAGAGGAACACCAAAGCAACTGTTGCCGAGCCATAGGATTTAGCTAGTGCCGGATTTGTGTGTGTGTACGTGTTGACGAAGTAGCCGCACATGCCAATCAGAGCCAGAACGACGGCCCCAATGGCTGACCCACCAATCATGGCTTTACGGCGACCTATAGTGTCGGAAAGCAAAGCACCAGGAAGACCAAAGGCCGCTTGAGTGATAATACCCATTCCTGCAAGAAGTGCTGCTAGCTCGGACGACCATCCACCAGTCTCGAAGATTTGGATACCGTACCCAGAGACAAACCCCGAACCGACCATTGCTTGTGTCGCGAACTGTATGAAAATTGCCGACCAAGTCCGTCGAGCTGTTTTCAGATCGTCTGGAGCCGTCAACATAGCCCAATAGCTTGTCGACGAATTGTGTATACGTTCCGTCTCTATCGCCTGTGCAATCGAAAGAAGTTCGGACTCCACAGTCTCCTCAAGCTCAATGGGATCTTCGATGGACTTGACACTCCGGAGACCATCCCGGGCTGCATTGATGAAGCCGACTTTGACGAGCCAGCGTGGCGATTCAGGCAGGAAACACACCATAGACAGGACAGTGATGACGTAAATCAGCTGAAATGACATCGGCAGCCTCCAGACTATCTCGCCTGTAGTGTGCTTGGCCAAACCATACGGGATGAAGTAAGCGATGGACGCGCCTGTAGCAGCGCAGCACATCAAAATGCCCATTTTACGGCCTCTGTGGCGATGATCAGCGCTTTCAGCTGACCAGTTCAGTCCCACAGAATCGAAGGATCCCGTAGCGCACCCGTTAAGGAAACGAAGCGCCAGAGCCCATGGGAAGCTCTGCAGAGATGCAAACGTTGGAATGATGGCAACCGTGAAGATTCCAGTAAGGACAATGGCACGTCGGCGGCCAACGCGATCTGAGAACGAACCAACGAGAAGGGCGCCGAGGATGACACCAATCCAGTAGACGCAGTTGATCAGGCCGATGAGAAGCTGAGTATGATTGCTTCCGTCTGTGAGTTCGACGACTTGGAGGTACGAGTCTAAACCGGAAATGCTGCCCATGAGTGCGAGATCTATAATTAGTGTCAGCTGCATGTGATCTCCGTAGAGGCTAATAGAACAAGCAGTGAATGGTGCCAAGGCTAAGAAAGATAATGACAGTTATAACGTACTGTATCCTGAAAGTGACATGATGCAGCATCCGCAAGCAACTACGCCAATTCTCGAGACCTTAGGAGGCAGCCCAACGAAACGGTACATCGGGGATGGCCCTGGCATGTATTGAGTCCATGCTGGAACGCCGTTCGGTATTGCGTCTGTCTGTCCCAGACCGAAGTCGCCAGAGTCGCCAGAGTCGCCAGGGGTGCCAGATGAAACAATTTTGCTCTTCATTGCAGTTGAATAATCAAGACAACTAGTGCAAAAGCCTGTGTGATTTTCGATTGAGACGGGACTGGTGGCGTCGCATGGGCCAAATACAGCGGGTGGCCTTTGCCCTTTTTCATAATGCTGGGTCGCTTATCGCCTCCATACCAGAGGAAATATTATTCGTGGGAGTTTACATAGACAGTAGTGTTGTAAGAGAGTTCGTACTCCCTTATCTGCGTGATAGCAACCGGAATTTATTTCGCGGATCGGGCAAACTTTCTGTACTTGGAAATAACGCCAGGGTGATACCGCCATGAATCTGATAAGAAGAAAGGGGAAAATAGCTTATCGGAAGCTCCTTCAGTACATTTCACGTATCAAAATTGCCGCTTTCTAGATGTATGGGGGGATCCGTCAGGCTGGTTATGGCTATGGGTCCCAGTCATGATACCAACCGGAAGTTGATATACGGATACCGATATACCGATCAGATCGTCAAATCATCATTGACACTAGAGACCAAAACAATGTGTCAGAATATTACAGGAAATCAGGACGTAAATTACGTGCGCCGTATCAATATCTCCGGTTGGAATCGTGGGTTGGGCTGCACTGACCAGTTCAATACCTCTTTATTGCTTCAGCCATTGCAAGCAACTGAAAACTGGCTAAAAGTCAATACCATCATCACAAGTCCGCAATCACGAACGCCTAGTCAAATAGAACACACTATAGCTGGAAACTTCAAAAGGTCTCTTCCTATTACTTGAAAGATGAACAGCCACGTGTATGGAGATCCCAACGACCCTGTCAAAGTTGCAGTCGTGCAAGCCGAGCCTTGTTGGTGAGTGATGCACCGGCCAGATCTTCATCGCATCTTCGGCAATTCTGTGTATCTTGTAATGCTAACAGCCGTTCCTTGACCAGGTTCGATATCGAAGCTGCAACTGTCAAGACATGCGAACTCATAACCGAAGCGGGCGCGAAGGGTGCGAAGCTTGTAGCGTTTCCAGAGCTCTGGATTCCCGGATACCCCAACTTCATCCATGCCAAAGCAGCCAAGGAGACTATGAATTACAACCTCAAGTATTACCGCAACTCCATCGATGTCCGGTCCCATCACATGGAGCGCATCCGTATGGCGCCCGGAATGCCATCATCATGGTTGTCGTGGGCATATCGGAGCGGGACAAAGGCAGTCTGTACATGGCCCAGACCTTCATAGGCCCAGACGGAGACGTGCTTCTCCACAGAAGGAAGTTCAAACCCACTGCTCAGGAACGGATCCTGTTTGGTGACGCAGCAAGTGGCCACTAAAGCCCCAGCAAGCCTTTGTGCTGACCTCGTCGTGCCCAAAGTCGGGTGACTGCACGACGAATGTAGTTCAGACGCCCATCGGCCGAATCGGTGGCCTTCAATGCTTCGAGCACCTGCAACCTCTTCTAAAGTACAATACATACTTTCAAGGAGAACAGATTCATGTTGCCTCATGGCCAAATCTCTTCCCTCCAGTCGGCAAAATGCCCTTCTTCAATACCGTCGAATCGTGTATGATGGCTACCCACACCCTCGCCGTAGAAGGCGCAACATTCGTTCTTCTCGCCTCATCAACTCAGACAGAGAAAGGGCTTGTAGCCAACGGGCTTGTGGATGAGAGTGAACATGCCGGTCAAGGGGAAAAGCCCCACACGGCGGTCGTAGGTGGTGGATTTTCCGAGATCATCGCTCCGGATGGGCGCGCGCTGGTGAAGGCGCCTAGCCCTACGTTTGAGGGTCTCCTCTATGCAGAGCTCGAATTTGACGAAATCTACATCGCAAAGAGTATTGTCGACACGGTGGGGCGATACTCACGCCCTGATCTTTTTACTCTACAGGTCAGGAGCAAACTCAGGCGCCAATGTGAGTACGACGAAACAAGCGATATTGGTCATGTATCAAGGTTTCCCGATCTCCCGATAGCATAAGGAGAGTTTGGAAGTAGACCGGGTTTTATCTTCCGGATAATGCATCTTTGGCGGAGAACTATTTGAGATTCGCAATTTGTAAGGAAGATTCGGTGTTGGAAGATGCAAAAGGTCATCTCCGTGGTCTCAAGAAGTATGTTCATCCATAGAGGCATCTGCGTGAAGTAGGATCAGGCTACTCTGACAGTATTACATGTTTGTTACATTCAGGTAGACGGCAGGAGAATTCAGATTTCAAGAACGTACGCTGTTATCGCTCGACCCACTACCCTGTTTTTACCTCGAGTCTCATAAACATAACATTCTTCAGCCTCAAGTTACGTCTCTATGGTTGGGACTAATTTATGAGTTTTGCTATCCAGGCTAATATTACTAGGTAACTGGGTGGGTAGTAGGTACAAGCGATAATGGGACGACGCCGGCGACGACAATAGGGACAGGGTGAGGGATAAGTACAGGGACAGCAAGGACAACAAAGACAACAGGTAAGACAAGTACGATAGGAGTAATCAGGATCATAGAGATAATAAGCTATTTCAGATAAACTATCTAGCCAGTGAGCCAGAAGTATCCGCCTGAATAGCAAGGCCCATCTTTGTAGCTTCTTTTAGAAATATTATCCTTATTGCAGGTATTGTCATAACTTTCGCTACTCCTCTTATCGTCTTTATTGTATTTATTATAATTGTCGTCCTTGCTGTTGTCGTCATCACTTTCATAGCAGGTGCGACGCATGAAGCTTCGGAGAGTTCAGAGACCTTGCTGAATAGGACATCAATTCCCACGTGCTCCCGCCCAAGTCTCCATTATACATAACTACTATCAGCTTCCAAGCGGTGAAAACCTCAGGCTAACAAATCTTTCATAGACCTTGAGTTTGAGATTTTGGGGCTTCTCTGATTTTTTCATACCACGCACATATCTGCTTGCTACTTCAGTCGGCTGTGCGACTTCAGCTGGTCGATCTCTTCGACATTGGCCGAACTCCTATATGGGTCATACCAACGACGCTCTCCCAACGCCATGTTTCTCTGCACCTTCAGCCGATCGTCCCTGATTTTGTCGAGATTCCCGCGCCCCCCTCCTTCGAGTTTCCGACCATGCAGGGTTGTATCAAAGAACGCCCGTATTCGCCTCCCATTTGATGTTACGTGTCAGAAACCGAGCATCACCGTCAGATGGCCTTACAGCCGGCGATTACCTACTCTCCCGAGGCCATCAACATTGCCGAAAGGCCAAAACCCCAAACTGTTGTTAGGACCTCCAACAAACTGCAGCTTTAAACTGTTGTCGGAACCTCCAAAAGGCAATAAATTCAAATTGTTGAACCCTCCGAAAGCATGTATGGATGACGTAGATGTCTACAACGGAAAATCCATCCCAATCCGCGTCTCACCGCACCTACATCATGTGGTTCGAGCTATTAGGCATCACCAGCTATTTCCCTTTTCTGCAGAAGTTACAGAATTATGCTCACGCCCTGGTAATGAGCTATACGCAAGGGCCCGCAATGCCCGCCTCATCATGAGTAACATCATACCAGAGATGTCAACAGATGCAGTGACACCTTACTGCATATGGTATCCTGATGTAGCCACAGAAGAGACATATCGCGAATTATCTCGGCGGTATCCAAGGATGCGGCATCAAGTTGGAAGAGCTTGCGCAGTGGCAGGTTATAACAGGCTATACGACGAGCTCCAACTGCTTCCGGACGTCTGCATCGCGGAAGAGGCTGAAGATAACAACAACGCCTACATCCGAGACGCTATCTCAAGCAAGCAAGTGAGATACGCCGTTATGAATGACTACACAAGGACCATCAACATCGATGCACCGAGAGCCAGCGCGAATCTTAACGGGGACACGGCGGTCAGGTCGTCTCTGGAAAAGAAACGCCCTCTTCATCATGATACAGACGGATTTGATTTCCTTGAAGATTCCAGCCATTACTTCGACATACAAGAGGATCGCCACGTACGCCCTTTGTATTGGCGTGGCCCTGAGCATACAGCTCTGCCGAGCAAGTATTCAGACCTGACGTACAAGCCACTAACCCCTGATATACCGCCTGTCAACAAGGATATCCTCATTCTGATAGCTGCTTGGGATGGAAACATTGATCGCTATTCACGTCTAAGGCGCCCGAAAACTATCAACAACGAGATCTCGGCCGTCATTCGCGGAGCATATCATCACACCCCCTTTGCGAGATGGTTGGATGGCTGCCTGGACGATCTGTTTGCTGACAAGTCGGAAAGCATGCCAATCCGACAAGCCATAAACGCCCGGTTCATAATGAATGATGATTTGTCCAGAGCAGACAGGTTTACGCACGGCAATACCCTTCCGGAGTTTTTCTGGTGGCCTCGCTGTCCCCATGAAGACACGCTAAAGGAGTTCGCATGGCGACGGCCTGACATGAAACACCAAACAGCCCTGGCGTGTATCGTTGGCCAGTATCGACATCTATTTGATGAGCTGATAGCCGACTTGGAACCCACTCAGGGCTTATTGGAAGTTGCTTACCAGTGTCCAGATGAGCACTATCGAAAGCAAGTCAACCGGTGCGCAGAGGCGCGCGGGGTAGAGTTTTACTCCATCAGAGGAGTCGACGGCTGGGACGGACATCATTGGGCGAGAAGCAGGAAGCACCTTCAGCCCCGTAAAGAGATATACCCCCCCTTTCTTCCCTTCTACCTTTTCTTCTTTGCAGTTTGCTGCCTGGAGGTGCACCTTGTTGACTGCTGTATGACTCTGACGGGGAAATATATAGAGGGTTATAGTGTAACCTCTATAGCTAGCCTATAGGGTATATAAAGGGGATTTTTAAGCTACTTAGTCAAGCTAGTAGAAGTAGCCCCTTATTACACTATAGCCTAAATTTAAAGTTTTTTAAGATAAATCTTATATATACCTCTATTACAGTTAGCTATCTGATAATAAGGTCTGCTAATAGAAATTAGAGATTAATATTAAAATAGTATACTAAGGTTATAGGTTATAAGTTATAAGTTATGTTATAGATTAATAGTTAGAGACTAAAGTAATTAGTTTTAGACTTAATAAGTGATTTATAGTGAAGGTAAGCTAAAAGTATTTTAGAGATATTTATAAGTTAATTACTAAAGAGCTATAGAAGTCTAACTTTAAAGCTAGCTTAGGTTATACTATATATAAATTCTAAATAGTATTCTTTATTTATATTTAAGTGATCATTTAGGTATATAGGTAATTATAATTAATTAGTAATATTTAACTAATTATTAAGTTTTCTTTTTTATACTTTACTAATCGTTCTTTATTTTGTCGTTATATAACTTATACTATAATTTTTCTGTTTTAAATAAGTTCCTACTATTTCTATAATCTTATAGTATAAATATTCTATTCTAGCTATTTAATACCTAAACAGGTTGTTTAGCTACTGTCTTTATTTATAAGTTATAATATTACGTTTTTTCTCTAAAGGTTTTATTTTTAAAACTTAATATAAGTAGGTTATTAGTCTTAAGTTAGGGATCTATTAATTATACTTCTTAATTTACCTATAATATTAATACTATATTAAGTTATATTTAAAAATTGAAATTAAGTACTATTTCTACTTTTGATTATTATAATTATACATTATATATTACTAAGTTTAGTTTTATTATTAATATATTTTGTTTTTATTATTATTCTTTTAGGAAGTATTATAAGCTTTCTGTTTTTAGTCTTATTACTAATAAACTATAAGTTCTTCTATTATATTAGTGATATCTGTTTACTAATTTCTATATATTATCTTTATATCTATATCCTTTCTATTTAATAAGGTAGTAGTAATCTTTTGGTTTTTTAAAATGGTTAATAAGTTATTTAATTTTATACTCTGGCTTATTATCTTCTATAATAATTATATTATTTATTTACAATTCTTATAATATTAGCTTAGGTAGTGAAATATAGAATATTAGGAAATATTTTATTGTATTAAATAAGTTAAGTTTATAGTTAACTGGTAAGACGTTTTAGAGGATTTTAAAACTTTTAAGTTTTTTAAAGTTTAGTTTATTATGTAGTCGTTTATTTTAATATTCTACTATATAAAATAAGCGTTATCTCTTTTTTTTAAAGTTAATCCCTTAATCCTTTATTTATTACTAAATTTGGTTATACATTATTATATAAATTTAAGTTTTTTTTATATACTATCTTAAATTTCTTTAATTTAGTTAGGTATTGTTAACACAGGTATAAGCGTATTCAGGGGCGTGGTGTATGCGCCTATATAGTATAGGGTTATAGATAGGCTTATATTATGATAAAAGGTGATAATCTTAAGCATTTATAGGCATTCAATTATATGGATAATAATAAGGGAAGTGATGTATTGTGATGACTCTGGTTGTTATAGTTAGGAGGTTGTTTCCTCTAGTAGAGAAAAGTGAGGGGAAAGATAACCTGAAACGTAACCTGCTAAACTGCTAATTACATAAAGTGCTTATGTAACTGTATTAATTACATAATCAATATTATAGTTATAGGTTATAATAAATAGAGTATTTTAATATAAGGTTTAATACCTTAATCTTTATTAGTTTATTTTATATAGAATATTAAAGTAAGTTAAGCGTTATTATCATACTTATATCATTATTGTTGTTATAAAAGAATGTTATATGTTAACAATAATTAATATAGTTATTTTGTTTCTTTTTATTATATTTTTAGTCTATTAATAGCTTAAGAGGTAATAAATTTATTTTAGCTTTATTATTAATTAGTATAAATATTATTTATTAGTTAATAATAACTTTAAATTTAAAATTACTTTTATATCTTAATAATATTTAGTACATAGATCTTATATTTATTGCTTATTGTAATCCTTGTTTAATAAATAAATTTAGTTTCTTTTGACTAATTTGGTTACTTAAAGTAAGTAATTTATTTCCCTTCTCTAATTACTTTTATAAAGCTATTTTTATAGATTTTAATTTATAAAGGTTTAGGTCTATTTCTTATAATTCTCTATATACATAACTACCTTTTCTTTATAATAAACCTAATATTTATTATATTAATATGTATCTTATTCTATTTATTTATTATTAAGGTATTTTATAGGAATCTTACGGTCTAGTCTAAAAGTAATAATATTAGTATTAAACTAGGTAATTTCCTATTTTTTTAAAGATATATACTAAGTAGATTTAAGTTATAAGTTCTTTTTTAATTCCTTAAGGGTTAAATTAATATTTCTGCTTATTACCTATTTATATTCTATATTATAAATATAAACATTATACTTAAAAAAGAATAGTAATATCTAAAGTTAAATAGTCTAAAGTATTAATAGTTTTTAAATCTAGCTTAAAAGACTTCTATTTTTATTAGGGTCTTTAGGTTTCTATAGAAATATATATATTATTTATTAGTAATAGAGTTAATTAAGTAAATTTTAATTTTAATTTTGATTTTTCTAAGTTTATTTTTAAACTCTTCTTTAGAACTAATATTATCTATGTTGAAAATAAGCCTATAAGTGATTTTTATTTAAATATATTAGTAAGTAATATTATAAAGTTCATTTAAGTTATAAAATAAGCTTTTTTTGTTTGTAAAAGTTTATCTATTAATAAAGTTAAATAGTTATTATTTAACTAAAAGGTTATATTAATATTCTAATTTTATATTATATGTTTCTTTATTTTATGTTTTAAGTTTTTAGTTTATTATTAAAGAGGTATTAATAAGTTCTAACTGTTAGATTTATAGTATTTTATTAAATTATTCTCTTAGTTTTCTTATAATTTTATTATGACTAGTATATAATACTAATATAATCTTAACATAATTATTTAAAGTAATTATACTATATTTAAACTATTTAAGATTATTATGTCTTAAGTAGTATCTTAATATTTCTTCATTTTAAAGTGAATTTAATAATTATTATTATAAAATTTAGTTTAAAATAGAGATACATAAGAAGCTTTTAAAATTATATTAACTTATTAATATTATTTAGCTATAAGTTTCTAAGAAAGCTTTTTAAGCTATTTATAATCTTTAGCGATATATCTCCATTTATTATAGTTATAAAACTTAAGGCTTTAAGTTTTTTATTATTAAGTTTAGTTATTATATCAAAATCTATAACTCTACTATATTATCCATAAATACTATTTTAATATACATTATTCTAATTGTTATAAAGTTAACGATTATTCTACTAATAACTGAATTTATTTTATAGCTACTATTAATATTTATATTCAGTATTAAGTTCTTATTACTTTTTGCTTTGTTTTAATATTATTTAAATAATTAGTTATTAATTTTAATAATAAGATTTATATATTATAAAAAGTTATTTAGTTAATTAATCTTAATCATTTTATCTTTAATATTATCTTTAAGCTTTTAGTAAAATCTGAAGATCGTAGTTGTTTTAGTTAAATTAAGTTAAATACTAAATTATTAGAATATAGTAATAAAACCTTTAGTAAACTTAATTTATTTAAGTTATAATAGTTTATATTTAGTTTATAAATTTTTATTAGTATTTTAGAAAAAAGAGTAAAAAGTATCTTTAAATCCTTAAAAGCTACTATAAATATTATAAATTTCTATAGAGTATTTATCTAATATTTATATTTAAGGAATTAATTTTAAATAAATTTAAACTATTTAGAAGCTTATTTTTAGAAATAAACAGCTATATAGACTATTCTCTCTATTTAACTAATAAAATTATTATCATAGAAGTTCTAATAATTTTTAAATTAAATTAGAAATCCCTTAAAATATCTAAAAGTATTATTATAAATTATTAAGAAACTAAATTTAAGCTTCTATTAATCTTTTATAAAAGTTAGAATAATATTATCAGTAGTTCAAAAAGTATTAAGTTCTTTTTAGAGTTCTTAGATCTTCTCAAGATTAATAACTCTTTTAATATTTCTTTTTTATTTCTTATAAGTTTAGCTAGCGTTCTAAAGTTATTTATTAAAGCTATTTATAGTTTATTTATTCTTATTAATAAAAGTTTATATCTTTTTAGATTTATTCTTTTATTTCTAGATAATATATTAAAGCTTTTTATTTTTATTTTAATAAAAGATCTTTCTCTATGAGAGTTATACTTAAGGTTTAATATATTATAGTTTTTAATACTAATATGGTTTTATATTAAGTTTTAAAGCTAGTTATATAAAGAAGATAAAGATCTTGAAATAGGGGATTTAGCTAAAATATAAGAAAATATATTTATTTTTTATTATTAGTAGGTATTATTAATTAACTTACTAAATAAAAGTAATTAAAATGTTATAGTTAGCTATCTAATAATAAAGTTTACTAACAAAAGCTAAAACTTAATATACTATAACAATATATAGAGCTTATAGTCATAATTATAAGTTATAAACTATAATAGATTAAGTTTTTAAAAGGTAAAATAATTAGTTTTAAACTTAATAAATATTTTATAGTAAAAATAAACTAAAAAGTATTAAAAATAAATATAAAGTTAATTACTAAAAAGCTGTAGAAGTTTAATTATAAGCTAAACGTAAGGTTATACTATATATAAGTTCTAAATAATATCTCTAGTTTTATTACTATTCTTAAATTAAATAAGATCTATCTCTACTAAATATAGCCTCTATATCTATAGTATTGTCACGGGCTAGAGCCCGGATTGATATCTCCGGCTTTGCCGGAGCAATTACTGAGATCCGGCTCCGTTGGACCCACTACTCTGCCGCGTTACACCGCCTAACCCGGTCTGCTTCACCGCTGTTAGGTGCCTACTCTTGTAAAGTCCTTTCTTCCTTCTTCAGCTGAGAATAGTCAATCAACAGCACCTCTACGTTGAACAAGCCTAGGGGCCAGCCCCTTACATATTCTCAGCTCAACAACAAAAGACGCTATACGAAACCTCACGAGAGCGATACGACTGATTCGCTAGAGGGTAGCGCAACGAGAAGACGCTATACGAAACCTCACGAGTGCGACACAATAGATTCGCCTGAGGGTAGCGCAAACGACGCGATGACTGCAGAGATTGACCGCAGGGTTAACAAAGCAGTCAACACAAGCATACGTCCTCTTCAGGACCAGATGACGCAGCTCTTAACAGCTCTGAACGGGCTTATATCAACAGATAGAGCGACCCCTACGCCGCTTACGAGCAGCGTACCCACACCGTCCACCGCTGATATAACTATACAGGCAATAAGCGACAGTATAACAATAGCAACAGAAGGGCGAAAGAAGCCCCTGCTAAACCCCCCGAAGTTCACAGGAAGGCGTAAGGACTACGCAGTATAGGCCCAGCAGATGCGCAACAAGATAGAGCTAGATGCAAGGTATATTAGCAGTAATGCTGATATCTGGTACTTCATCAACTCCTGCCTTGATAGCAGGCCACAGCAGGTTGTAGCTACCTTCTACGCAGCAGGAGGTCCAGGTGGGCAGAAGGACTCTGTTGAATTCCTGAAGTACCTTGACCGGACGTATAAGGACCTAAATACAGATCTACGGGCAGCAACCACACTACAAACCCTTCGCCAGCGAGACGATCAGTCTCTATCCTCCTTTCTACCCCAGTTTGAGCGAACACTAGCTGAGGCTGGTGGCGCCAACTGGGCAGATAAAGCTAAGATAGCCCTCCTTAAAGGGGCCCTTAGTACTCGTCTTAAGAGGGGTCTGATCTATATTGAACTTCCTAAGGACGACTACCACAGATAGCTTCTCAAAGTTCAGGATTTCGCTATCAAGCTTGAAAGCCTACCTCAGCAGGCGCATAAGGGTACCCCACCTTATTCGAAAGCACCACAACCTGGCCAACAAGACGCAGACGGAGATATGGCGATGTCTGGCGTTAGCCGCGCTAAGGGCAAGGAGAGGGCAAGGCCACGTCGCCAACGTAGCAGCTCCTCCTCATCTGAAGACCTGCAACAACTAAAGAAGGACAGTTGCTATTGTTACAACTGTAACCAGATCGGCCATATCGCTGTATGGTGCCCTAGGCGGAAGCCTCTCAGCCCTACGAAGGCTAAGAAGGTCAAAAAGGTTAAGAAGGACCCTAAGCCTGAAGGAAGCAGTAATAATAGTGCTATAGAGGAGCCAGGAAGTTCTGAGGCTGAAGAAAGCTTAGGAAAAGAGTAACTCTAACGTAAAGTTAGGCGTTAGAGGCAAAGCCTAGTGATATCACAGAATAGAAGCAGTTTAAGCATCGCATAAGCGGCAAGTCAGCAGTGATCACTACCTGCATATATAAGGGCACTCAAGCAGACGCCTTAGTAGATACTAGGTGCGACCTATACGCCCTTATCGACCACAACCTTACCTGTAAGCTCCGCCTGCCAATAGTAGATCGCTCTAAGCGGGTACTAGGCAGCTTCAGCGACATTACAGGCGCTACGAAAGCAATAGGCGTAGTTATCTTTAACCTCGAGCTGTGCGGTTATGATGAGAAGATCTTTGTGTATACTGTACGTAGCCTTAGCGACGACCTGTTCTTAGGGAAACCCTGGATGGAGAGGAACCGTATATTATATGATGCTGCTGCCCAGCATATACGGCATAGGAGGGGTGGTGTAGACTTACGTCTGAAAGGCGAGGGAGAGCCAGAGCGAGTGCGCCAGATCAGGGCTGCCCGCCTCCTCCCAGGAGCCCCTTTTGCAACGCTCTATAGGAGGGCATGACAACAAACCAAAGGAACTGCAGGATATGAAGTTCGAGCGATCAGCTTAGCAGATATACAGAAGGCTCTTACGAGGAAGACTGAGAAGGCAGACCTAAAGGCCCTCCTTCCACCAGCTGTACTAGCTGAGTTCTGAGAGCTATTCCAACCTGACGAAGCTGCTAACCTTCCTCCGCATCGCCCTGGAGTCGACCACACGATCCCTATCAAACAGGAGAGCGACGGCAACGAGGCTGCACTACTATGGGGGCCGCTCTACAGCATGTCACGAGAAGAGCTTCTCGTCCTCCGTAAGACCCTGAGAGACCTACTAGATAAAGGCTTTATCCGCGCTAGTAGCTCAGAAGCATCAGCCCCAGTACTGTTTGTACGCAAACCAGGTGGAGGGATATATTTTTGTGTTGACTACCGCGCCCTTAACGAACTTACAAGGCGCGACTGATACCCTCTTCCTTTGATTTGAGAGACGCTACGGACTGTCAGCGCTGCTAAGTGGTTCACTAAGCTAGACGTAGTAGCAGCGTTCCATAAGATCTGAATCGCAGAGGGAGAGGAGTATAAGACAGCCTTCCGAACAAGATATAGGTTATTTGAGTGGCTTGTCGTTCCCTTTGGGCTCACGGGAGCCCCTGCTATGTTTCAGCGATATATCAATAGCGTACTTCAGGAGTACCTAGACGAATTTGCGACAGCATATATGGACGACGTCCTGATCTACTCAAATAGCTTAAGGCAAGACCACGAAGCAAAGGTTAAGCTAGTACTACGTAAGCTTGCCGCCGCGGGGTTACATCTAGACCCCTATAAGTGCGCGTTCTCTGTTAAGACAGTTAAGTACCTAGGGTTTATCATCACTGCAGGTGTGGGTATCTCTTGCGACCCTGAGAAACTGAAAGCAATTAAGGAATAGGCTGCGCTAAGGACGGTTAAGGGAGTCCGAAGCTTCCTAGGATTTGCAAACTACTACTGAATCTTCATCCCAGCGTACTCAGAGATCGCTGGACCCCTAATAGCTCTTACAAAGAAGGGTGTCCTCTTCTGCTGGGGTAAGGAACAAGAAGCAGCGTTCCAGGAGCTTAAGAGGATCTTTGCAGCTAAGCCTGTTCTATACCAACTCAACCCTGAGCGTACAACCTACGTTGAGGCTGACTGCTCAGGCTTCGCCCTTAGAGGAGTACTGTCACAAGAAGATAAGCACAAAAGACGTCATATAGTAGCATACCACTCGCAGCAGCTTAACGCTGCCCAGTTCAACTATCCGATACATAACAAGGAGATGCTAGCTATTATGAGCTGCCTATAAGAATGGAGAGCAGAGCTACAGAGTGTCGGCCACTTTAGGATCCTATCAGACCATAAGAACCTAAAGTACTTTATGACGAAGCAGAAGCTTACAGAACAGCAAAGCCGATAGGCAGAGGAACTATCTCAGTACAACTTCGAGATACAGTACCAGCCAGGAAGTGAAGCAGTAGTGCCAGACGCACTCTCTAGACGCGAACAAGACGTACCTACGTCTCTAGAGGACGAGCGCAAATAAGGCCGGATTCTCCAGCTTCTTCCCGAAGTAGCCCTTACCTCAACGCGTACACGACGCGTAGAGGCAGCCCCATCAGTGCTTATGTTCACCAACGATAAGGAACTATAGCAACTCTGGGACCAGACCTAAGGGTAAGACCAAGTCTACCAGCAGGCATATAATGCTGTGAAACAACGAGAAAGAAGCTTCCCTCCTAGCCTCAAGCTAAAGGTCCAGATTGCTAAGTGTGAGATCGATAATAGTAACCAACTACTATTCAGAGACTGGATCTAGGTACCAGGTAGTGAAGACCTAGATAGCGAGGCGAACACACTACGTACTTATATCGTTCAAAGCAGCTACAACTCAGTACTTAGTGGACACCCTAGTAGAGATAATACCCTCGCGTTGGTCAGTAGGCGCTTCTACTGGCCTGGCCAGTCACAGCTAGTATGACGCTTCTGCCGCAATTGCGATGGCTGCAGGCGAAGCCACATCTGGAGAGAGCATCAAAAAGGACTTCTGAAACCTCTACTAATACCGCAGCATATACGAAGCGACCTCGCTATAGATTTTATTACCAACCTTCCCCTTACGGATAAGGGTGAGGGATACCTTTGGGTAATTATCGACCGGCTAGGAAAAGGTGTAACCCTTAAAGCTATAGAAAGTATGGAAGCTGAAGCCTGCGCTAAACGATTCCTAAGCTGCCACTTCTGCTTCCACAGCGTCCCTACTTCAATTGTGAGCGACAGAGGAAGCAACTGGACGAGCCGCTTCTGGCGGCAATTCTGCAAGCTTTTAGGAATAGAACAGCAGCTCAGTACTGCCTATCACCCACAGACTGATAGCAGCCCAGAAAGGATGAACTAAGAGATCCAGGCCTACCTACGCAATTATATTACCTACTCGCAGAAGGATTGGGCGAATAACCTCCCAGCAGCCCAACTAGCGCTCTGCAGCTGCGATAGCAGCGCTATAGGCATGAGCAGCTTCTTCTTAGAACACAGATACCACCCAGAGCCTATCTGGGTTCAAGAGACAGACCCAGAAGACCATGAGGGCCCTCGTGAGGACCTGGCATGCAAGTTGGTAACAAGGCTCCAGGACGTGATGGATATGGCACGGTCGACCCTTGCCTCAACGCAGCAACGCTATGAGGAGCTGGCTAACAGGAAGCGCCAGCCTACGGAGAGACTAGAAGCAGGCGACAAAGTCTGGCTTCACATGGGCCACTACAGGTCCCCTAGGCTATGCAAGAAACTGGATTGGTTGCACCATAAGTATACCGTTACGAAGGTTATCTCACTATACGTGGTAGAGCTTAACGTGCCAACGGCTATATACCCACGCTTCCACGTGGATACCCTGAAGCGTGCAGGTAACAACCCTTTACCTAGGCAAACGCTAGATAACGAGCAGCCGCCACTAATTATAGATGACGAAGGCGAGGAGACCTGGAATGTAGAGAGTATCGACGCCGCTACCTAGAAGCGTCGAGGGCGCGGGCGACGCCGCGAAGTTCTGGTTAAGTGGGAAGGATACGCAGAGAGGACCTGGGAGCCTATTGAGACGCTCCAGGGGACAGAAGCATTGGAGGCTTATGAACGCCGTTATGGCTCCGCGATGGAGCATGATGGAGACCCAGCCTTAGGGCCGCGGGCACGCCGCCGGAGGGGAGCGGGGGGGTAATGTCACGGGCTAGAGCCCGGATTGATATCTCCGGCTTTGCCGGAGCAATTACCGAGATCCGGCTCCGTTGGACCCACTACTCTGCCGCGTTACACCGCCTAACCCGGTCTGCTTCACCGCTGTTAGGTGCCTACTCTTGTAAAGTCCTTTCTTCCTTCTTCAGCTGAGAATAGTCAATCGACGGCACCTCTACGTTGAACAAGCCTAGGGGCCAGCCCCTTACAAGTATATAGATCTAATCTCTTATCTTATTATTATATAATTTAGATTATAGTTTTTCTATTTCTAAGTAAGTCTCTATTATTCTTATAATTTTATAGTATAAATATTCTATTTTAGCTGCTTAACGCTTAAGTAAACTATTTAGCTACTATCTTTATTAATAAGTTATAATAACCTCTTACTTAATTAATATAGTTCTTATTAGTAGTGATATTAAACGTCTAAAAGAAATTAGTTTACTATATATTAAATAATAGCTTAGTTATATCTTTGTAGCTCAGAATAATAACATAATATCTCTATACGTCTTTTTAAACCTGTAGAAAACCTTTAGAATTAAACTTTCTATTAAGTTAAATAAAGATTTAAAAAGATCGCTAAAAACTTAAAAAATAAGAATAATATAAAAGATAAGAATAATATAAAAGAGATTAATAGAATATTTAACAAGAAATATAGTAAATAGCTCTAAGAACTAATTACTATTATTACTTTTATCTAAGGATATAGTAGTTAAAGAAACTAGGTTAGGTTAGGGTAGAGGGAAAAAGGGTTCTTATATTCCCTTTAGTTATATAAAAATTCATAAAAGAATTCTTCACAAACTGG